TTAGAGACCATAATCGACGACGACGACTGAACAACGAAAACTGAATTGAGGCTGACGACGACGACAACGAAAACGAAAAATGAACAACGATGACGGCTGAACGACTACGAAGCTACGCCATTGTTTGGGGGTCGTCATCAACGACGATGACTGAACAACAAAAACTGAACTGAGGCCAACGACGACGACGACGACAACGAAAATGAAAACTGAACAACGATGACGATGAAGACTGAACAACGAAAACTGAACGAGAGAATCATGGGGTAACGACGACGGTGGAGGACGACTGAATTAAGGCCGGCGTTATTAACAGTATAAATCATCGACGACGACTGAACATCGAAAACTGAAGGGTAAAGTTTCTTCTTGGTTTTCTTTTTTGTTCTTCGGTTTTTTCTTATTTTAGTGCACTTCTAAGTTTTTGGTTTTTCTTACTTGCATGTTTGGTTGTTTTTAAAGTTTTTTGTTTGATTGTTTGGTTTAGGGTCGTGGGATAACGACAACGATAGAGGATGATTGAACTAAAGTTTGTTGTTTGTTTGTTTGGTTTTTGGTTACAATGAATGTTTTTGGTTTTGCATGTTTGGTTGTTTTTAAGATTTTTTGTTTGTTTGTTTGGTTTCCAAATGGTGGGGATGGATTGCTTGAATTGATTATTGGGAGTGTGAATAGCTTGTCTTATATATTTTTGGGTTGCAAGATGAAATTACAAAAAGATTTTGAAATTGATTTTGAAGAGCAACATGTATGCCTTGTCAAAGCTGGTTATGTTTGGTGTTGTAATTTTGCAATATGTATAAAAATCTATTATATGTGTTAATCTTGTAAGCATAAAAACGAGTGATGAATGCTTAAATTTGCTGCAATTGGAATAAAGTTTTTCTCAAATATTTTGCATCTAACTTAGTTTGAATCAACCTCGGTTCTTAATTAGCCTTAGGCTGAAGGATGAAAATGGAATAGATTTAGCCTTGAGGGAGGATTTATGTTGTTCATGTGGAGCGTGACCAGCAAAAATATAACCGAATGATATCTTATTTGAATGCCTTTTGTTCCAGGTTGCAGTGTCATAACATTGGATAATAATAGTATTAACATCTCATTAATAAATTTAGTTGAATGGTAGTGTTCTTCTGCTGGTGGCTTTTTTCGAGCCTTAGAATGAGCTTCCATCATTTGTGTATGTTCAATATAGAACTGAATACAGCCTTTTTAATAACAATGGATATAAAAAAATTTGATGAAAATGTGTTTAGATGAATGGGATGATTTGAAATGTTCTCAAAAAGAATTTCTATTGCAATCTCAACTTCTGGATAAGATCAAAGAATTTGAAGCAAAAACCTTTGTCATTATTACTGTTTTACTCAACAAGAAGGGAACTTTGTGTACGTAAAACCTTATTTTGCATTCAACATAAAAGAAACAAAATGACCAACACCAAATTTGGTTAAAACTATTTAAATAAAGGACTAATGACTATCCTAAATTCTCTTGGCACTTGATCTGAAATTGTCCTGTTTAAATGCTTAGTGTTACTTGATCTGAGTGCAAATGGCTATAATGTGATATTTTAATGCATTAGAATACCTTTGAAACATTTGTTTTCGTAATCAAACACATAGGATACTGTAATTGCTAATACATTTTTCTACCTCCCTCTCTTTTTTTTTTCCCCCTATCCTTTTAGTTTTGACGAAGTCAAGAACGTGTTTGCTTGTGATGCAATCACATATTATGAAATGTTGCACATTCACTAGAGGACAACTCCATAGTATTTTTTTTTTTTTTTTTTTTTTTTTTTTTGGTCTGGTGTTTGATGGGTTTATGACAGATGATATTTTCTGTGTGTTTTGAGCTTATGATTATATCTTATGCATGGATTTTGTAGATTTTTTTCTAGGTTTTAACGAACTTCTTTTGCATGTATCACAAATATGTCTGTCTTCATTTTTTGTTTACCTAGTTGTGTTTCTATAGTTTGATTGAGCTTTTGGATAAATTCTGTTGTGTTTTATCAATTTGATGCCTGTCATAATATGTTAGAATTGAAAATGTAGGGGGCTGGTTTGACTTATAGAACATGAATGTTCCTATGCCCTGTCCAATTGCCATTTGAAGGCAATTGTACAGGACAAAGGAACCTTCAACAACCATGATCTTAGGAAGACATGGTTGATAGTTGTTGGTGGTGTGTTCAATCATTCACTTTGCATTGAATTATTCTGCTATTCTGCAAGCTTTTCATTTTATTCTGTGTAGTTTTTAAGAATGGTTAAGTTTGAACTCTTGTTGTTATTGCATGTAGATGTATAGATGCATCTGTGCCTAAATGTAATCTAATTTGGTTTATAATCAAACTTAACATTTAGGAGATGTTAGAAGGAAGTGCCTAGAGTAGATTGCTCTAGAGAAAGCTAAGAAGAATGTTTGGAACTTGCCTTTAAGGGCACTCATGAAAAAGGAGAAGTGATTCTTATTGGTTTCTTATTTCAAAGTTGATTCTTTCCTTTATTAATCCTCATTTTAATGTCAATCCTGTACCATTAGACCAAACCCCCAATTTTAGAATTGAAAGCTTACTGAATATAACAGAAGAGGTTTCCCTTCTGTTGCTTTTCTGGTAATATCAAGATTTGCAGAAAGACCAGAAACAAAGTTTTAGTGAAATGGAAAGTGACATCTATAACTTTTTTGCCAAACTGCCAAGTGAACACCACCACTGAAGGTTCACACTAATTGTGCGACCTTAATTTATAATAATTGAAAAGGCAAGAATAGCAACTAATAAAACAGGTTGATTAGTTCACTGGTTAAGTCCTAAAGTATGTTACTTCTGAAGTTTTATCAACATTTGAGATCATATGAGTCAAACTTATGCTTTCCTTGTTGACCGAATGAAATTTAGGCAGATACAATGTGTTCATCCGTAGGTGCTGTACCTGCTGATGTAATCTTCAAAGAGGAAAAAATCTGGTATTTATCTCTGACAATTATCACTTGTTTGATAACCTCATGGCAAGTTCTCACATGTCAGATAATTTCTATATATCTTTATAATTTGTATTGATGAATGGGTTAGACTTGATCATTACCCATGCTTGTAAATCGTTTATGTTGATTTTGGGAAAAGAGAATACATTTTAATTTTAAAGATGATTTGCTGTCTGATGCTGGTTTAATATACTGAATTTTGGCTGATTTTGGTTGAATTTGTTTAATCTTTGGAAATGATTTGCTGGCTGATGCTGGTTTAATATATTAAATTTTGGCTGATTTTTGTTGAATTTGTTTAATCTTTGGAAATGATTTTTGTTGAATTTTGGATTTGTAGGATAGAGAAGAGGACAATTTTGTGCCTATTTTTGCAGCTATGGTGTGCATATGGAAACTGCTCAGTTTTTCAAACTTGATTTGAAGTTTGAAGTTTCAGTTGTATATCAAATTTTCATGTGCTGAATTCATGGTTTCTGTTTAAACCATGAAGACTTAATTGATACTGAATATTATGTACTGAATTGATGTTAATTATGAATGCTTTCTTTTAAATTATGAAAAATTTTAATTTTCAACCACAACTGGGTATATTGATACTGCTTCTACCAAACAGGGATAAATTGGTCACTTGCAACATGAGGGCATAACGTAATTCACCATAATGATTTGGGTATTTATGTAATTGAATTAGTCGACTAGTGATAAATTAATAAAAAACTAAGATGTCAAACTTTAAAGGGTATTTTAGTCTTTTCACTATTATAAAACGGAATTCTATAACAGTATAGGATGAAAAGTATTTATTTGTCTTTCTCAAACCTTTTAGATACTAACTTATCATTACGTAAAACCTTGGGGATGTTTAAGTCGTTCCCCCTTTATATACATAGAGAAAGACATAGAAGGGCACAGCAAGTCAGCACAGCAGAGTTCCAAATTCCAAGTAGTGGAAACGTCAATAATTTTGGAATAGAACACTAAAACCGGCGGTAAAGAGTGTGACAGTCTGACAAACTTACTGCTAGCAATTGAAACTACCTAATCAAGATTAGAAAGCTAATCAACCGAACGCAAGTAAAAGAAGAATATCGTGGTTCATTTGTTATTGAATAAGTTATATCCATGTTAAGATTCAGAATATAGAAACTCGCTGTACTATTATTACCACGAAATTACATATTATAATCCTCAATCACATACTTAAACACTCACTCGCAAGAACCACAATCTCTCTTCTCTCTTGACAAAGTAAATATAAAATCATATAGAGAAATCTATCCCCGATTCTCTACCCTCAAAAGAAACACAACTTTTGGTGGATTAACAACCCGATTTACATAAGAGAACAATAAAAGATGAAGAACCTTAGCAGAGGATTTTATATCGCAATTTTTACAGTGGAAGTGGTGAACTGTGCAAACTGGGAAAACTTCTGCTTTTATAGCATTGACCACGAGAGGAGTTCTCAGCCATTGAATTAGTCACAGATCAATGGCCAGGAATGCAAGAGAGATTTTGCTTGAAACAGCAGGGCATCACTAAAGCCGAAAACGACACAGTTTGAAGGCTTCACACATTAACAATTACAATAAATTAAATTAAATTAGTTTAAATTAGATGATGTGGGCCAGCCCAATTAAATTGGGTTCACCTATATATATATATAAAATCTTGTGACATAAGTTATATGATTGTCATTTTAAGAAGTTATAATTCTTTTATTTTGCCACGTCTATAGATTACTCAAAACATGATTACATATGATTGATGATGATGTGGATTTTTGACATTTGGTTAAATGTTATTGACAATAATGTGGTATAGTGATGAATTTAATTTGACGGCTGTGTAACTTGGTATAGTTGGTATTTGATATTGTTCATTATTAATAACATATATTAATAACCTTATTAATAATTTAATAAAATATTAATGCTTTGGATTGATACTCCGAAGATTACCTAGCACGTGGATGTGAGCTTTAATAAGATATTAATGCGTATTCCAAAAGTTGATATCAACCCAACCGTCTCTTAAACAGTTGAAGCGTTCACCTTCAAATTAATCTCCTTACGTTTCCTCTTCATCTTCTTCGTTACACGACCCATCTCTCTAATTATATAGCCAAGAATGGAAGACGAAGCAGAGATATACGACGGAATCCGAGCTCAGTTCCCGCTCGCATTTGGAAAACAATCGAAACCCCAAACCTCTCTCGAAAAAGTCCACGACGCCACTCGCCGATCTGAACAACCGCCTTCCCCCACCACCACCACCACCACCACCAATACCCAAGTTTTCGTCCTCAAAAGGTACCTCTTTTATCATTAATCACACTTCAATTTTTATGATAATTTGAACGCTTCGATGCTCAAATTTGATTATAACTTTCTGATTTTGCATTTTTTATGGTGGGTTTGATTTCATTTGATAACTTATGGATCACACTCATTGTTTTAAGTTTGATAAACCACTTATGTCTTATTTTAGCTGAAAAATACAAAAGGGATTCTGGCTATTCGGAAGTGCTTTTCTATTACAGAAAGCTCTTTGTCTCATGTAAGGGTTTTGATTTGTGGAATGTTACAATCTGTGAGATAGTTGAAAGCTGTTTGTTGAAGGAGGTTAGGAGCCGTTTGGCATCTCAAGAGTAGTCTTTTGTTAAAGAGAACCTAACAAGACAGGTTTGTAATTTGATTCTTGATTTGAATTCTTTTTGTGTTGTTTTGATGATCAATTCATTAGGGTTTCTTTTTGTTCAAGCCTTGGATTCAATCATTTTTGCCTTTTGGGGAACTTTTTGTTTGTGGGGTCAAGCGGGGTGAGTTTGAAATTGTTTATTAGAACTGAGTTTAATTTGTTTATGGTTTTTCACAGGAGGCAGAAACAAAGGCTAAGAACATGGAGGAAGAGATTTGTAGATTGCAGAAGACATTGGAGGAGAGGAATGGACAGCTTGAGGCTTCAGCTTCTAATACTGAGAAGGTATTAATTTTAATGAAATAAGGTCATGATTAACTAATAACAAGGCTATTTGCCATGTTGGTTGAGTTGATCTTGAATAATTATGTTTTTTTTTTTTTTTTTTTTTTGGTTGCATCTTTTGGGGTTGAAGTTATCCCATAATCATGGATGAATCGTGTTCTCATCTTTTTTATGCCTTTTGGGGTTTTCTTATTGTTTTTTGGTGGGGAGATCCCAGTAGAAGAAAGGTGACCAAGTGTTAAACATATTATAATGTTGTCTTGCCTTTATTTGTAGCTTGAATTATTCAAAAAAAATTTGTTGTTTATAAAAGAGATGGGAAAGCTTGGAAAATGAATTTAACTCACAATTCAAACCATTTAAAATCATTTGTTAGTTTTAGTATTTTAGAATGAATTTACTTGGTTGATGCTACTATTATATTCCAACATTTTTGTTGGTGTTTGTTCTGTTGGTGGATATTAATGTTGGCAGTCTTTTCTGCTAATTATTTTTTAAATTAGAAAATATGGGATGAATTTGGAGAGCCTGATGTTGAAAGGGATCAGACAATAATGGAGATTGAACAGGAGTGCTTGGCAGTATATGGGAGAAAAATAGATGAGGCAAAAGCTTCTAGAGCTCAACTTCAGAGAGCAATTGCTCTTTCTGAATCTGAAATTGCTAGTATATGTTCTTCATTGGGGGAGAGCAACCTGTGAATGTATGTTCCTTTTGGATTGAAGAAACAAGACTAATGCTTTAACTATACTTCTTAGTTAATATAGTGAAATTTTTTAAGTGGTTGATAATTTGTATGTGTTGGTTGAGGACTTCAGTGTGATCGAAAGGCTGGTGGAAATTTGAAGGAAAAACTTTAAATCATTATTCCACAATTGGAGGATGTGCACCAGAGGAAGACACAGAGAGAGTCAATTTGCTGAAGTGTTAAATAAGTTACAGGAAATATCAAACCTGATTAATCTGTGAAAAGACTAGAAAGGAATGTTGAAAAACTGCCTAATCATTTGAATCCTTGTTGTGGAGTCTATAAATTATACGCCCTCCATTTAAACCATAACGACTTACTTCAATTTTGACTCTTTAGGCTCTATCTCCTGATAGTACACGTATAAAACTGTGTCGAGCCCTTCCTGAAACATAACTTCGTATCTGACTTCAGTATATAAACGAACCCAGAGCATACCATTGGGAAGTGCTTCAGTAATTAAACCTTCATGAATCCATTCATTTTTCTTCTTTCATTCCAGGCAAAACCCCCTTGAAGTATCAACTAATGTAGGAGGAGTGATATTAGACAATTACACGTGCAGTTAGTGGATCTTTAAAGTGAAAAGGTTTGATGCCCTAATTTTTATTTTCCTTTTTTCACTCCTGCTGTCAGATTTGGAAATGAATGCTACAGATTAGTTACTTTTAGCCGTCATGTTTATGTTAAGATAGGTGAGAAATTGCATGTAATTTAGAATTATTTTTTCCTGCAAACTTGAAGCTGTAATATCACAACGACGTACTATGTAACTTAATCTACGATTGAGAAGTTGGCAATGAAAATTCGAAGTTTTCAAGACTCAAGAGGTCAAGATACAGAAAACGCAGAAGGTTTGTACTGTGTAAAACTGTTTTACAAGTTTATGAAATGGGAATTTATTGTAAATTTGATGAGGATGACGGAATGGTTATTATGGTGTGTGATTTTTGAAAACTGTTCCTCTATATTCATTCTAATGTGAATGTTATAAATCTCAAGATATTCTTACTTAATAATATCCATATAATAGTTGTAAAATCTAAAAACATTTGGAATATAACAAAGTAAAATATATTTATTTTTACTACAATTTTAATCAATTTTTAATGCATATATAGTATTCTCTTAATAATAAAAATACTTAGTTATAATTAAACATATGAAGGCCTAAATTAAAAAGTTTTGCTTAAGTCTAATGATCGTCGCGGTCACCTTGAATTTCATAAAATATCCTAAGGATTGTTATGCAATATGCTCTAAATTTAAGGAAATAGTTTCATACTTATTGAGTTTAATGGACCAAGATTTCTATTATGTGAGGTTTATTAAGTCTGATAAGAATTTGATTCTCCATTAGAAATTTATTCCAAAGAAATTTTCGAATTGTCATTTAGGGGTATGAGATTTGAATAAAATAATGGGAGCTAACTAGATTAGCATTAAAGGTTTAAATTTACAAGACTCTGATAAAATGTTTTAATTTCTTACAGCCTTTTTACAATAGCTGTTGTATTATATTTAGTTGAAAATGAGCAGTAATCTTCTTTGAAGGATTTTAGATGACAACAAGTTGATCGGACCCAATTTCAAAGATTGGTTAAAGAACCTGAGAATTGTTCTCAACTTTGAAAAGGCGGCATATGTTATGGAAGCACCCCTTCCACTCTCTATAGTTTTGGATGCCACACCGGAAGAGAGATAAAGGGTAGGGCTTCCAATGCAAGAAAGGTGGACATTCAAAGAGGATTCATCCTCTATATCTCGAGAGCTTGAAGAAAGCTCGAGTAGGTATATTCCATTCTTATGTTATAGAATTTGAATTAAGTGTTAATTCAAATTATCATTCTTGGATATTAGATTCAGTTGCTACATCTCACATATTTGTCTCATTACTGGCACTTCAGAATAGTTCTGCATTGTCAAAAGATGAAACCATTCTGAAGATGGCAAATGGAGAAAAAGTTGTGGTCAGACCATAGGTACTTGCCATTTGACATTGTCATTAGAACACATTTTGTGTTTGTACAAAATTTTGTTTTTTGCCAAAGCGACCATAAATATCATTTCTGTTTTTGTTTTATGTAAATCTAGTTACAAAATACAGTTTATTGGAAATAAATTAGTTGGCAAAGCTATCAATACAAATGGTTTGTATGTTGAAGAATATAATTATCATAACATAATTAATACCATTACTAATAAAAGAACTCAAAATGAAATAACTCCTAAATTACCTTAGCATCATTGACTAAGTCATATAGGAGATACAAGGATAATCAAGTTAGAAGCAAATGAGCTTTTAAGCCCATTGGGTTCAGAACTCTATCTGGCATGTGAATCTTAGCTTCAAGGAAAAATGACAAAATCTCCCTTTAAGAGTAAAAGGGAAAGATCCAAAGAATTATTGAATTTAATACATTCAAATGTATACAGACCATTTAGTGAAATGGCTCGAGAAGATTTTTAATATATACTTTATTACCTTTACTGACGATTATTCTAGGTACGGGTACATGTATTTGATGAAATATAAATCTGAATCCTTTGAAAAGTTCAGAGAGTTCAAGAATGAAGTAAAGAAACAAACCAAAAAGAGTATTAACAGTCTACGATCAGATCGTGGTAGTGAATACTTGAGTACAGAATTTCGAGTGTTTTTAAAGATAATGGTATAATATCCCAGTTGACTCCTCTAAATACACAACAATATAATGGTATGTCAAAAAGGAGGAACCATATTTTATCAGATATGGCATGGTCGATGGTGAGTTTCACGGACTTGCCAACGTCACTATAGAGATTTGCCCTTGTTACCGCTATGCACATTCTGAATAGGGCACCATCTAAATCTATCAAAAAGACACCATATAGGATTTGATATGGTAAACCTCCTAGTCTCAAATGTATGAGAATTTGGGGATGTCCAGCTTATGTCAAAATTTTCGAGATAGATAAGTTGGACGTTAGATTTGAGAAAGGTCGTTTTATTGGATATCCTAAAGACCATTTGAGATATTATTTTTACTTCCATTCTGATTAAAGAGTTTCGATAAAAAAAAAAATGCACATTTCCCTGAGAAAGAGTTCTTAGAGAAAGGTGGTGCGGGAAGAAAAATTGTGCTCTAGGAAGAGTCCGGTGAGCCTCAGACAAAAAATACTCAGATAGATGGTCCCTTTCAAGAAATCCCAACGCCTAAAATATCGGTCCCTATTCAGCAATCCTCTAGAGTATCTCGACCTTTGGAAATATATGGATATCTTCATGAGGATATTTTTGAATCTATTATGATTGGAGAAGTCAGTCATGATGATGATCGCAGAACCTTTGAAGAAGCGATATTAGATATCAATTCTAGTACATAGCTAGAAGCTATGAATTCTGAGATAGAATCCATGCATGCTAGTCAAGTATGAACTCTTGTTGACCCTCCAAAAGGAATATTTCTTATTGGTTGTATATGGGTCTTCAAGAGAAAGGTTGGCAAAGATGGAAAGGTAGAGACCTATAACGCTAGACTGGTAGCGAAATGTTATACTCAGAAACAAGGTTGGATTATGAGGAAACTTTTTCACTAATTGCAATGCTTAAATCCATCAGAATCATGCTAGCTATAGCAGCACACTATGATTATGAAATTTGATAAGTGGATATCAAAACAATGTTCTTTAATGGATTCATTGAGGAAAATATCTACATGCAACATCTTGTAGGTTTTGTATCCAATTCTAAAAGAAATAAGGTGTGCAAGCTGCATAGGTCCATTTATGGGTTAAAACAAGCTTTAAGAAGTTGTAACATTTGGTTTCATGAAACAATAAAATCGTTTGGTTTTATAAGAATCCGAATGAACTTTGTGTTTATAAATGGACAAAGGACCATACCATAATATTTCCCATGTTGTATGTAGATGGCATACTATTGATGGGAAAATGACATTGGAATGATGACTGAAGTTAAGTTGTGGTTATCCAGAACTTTTTCCATGAAAGACTTAGGAGAAGCGACCTATATCCTTGGAACTCGTATCTATAGAGATAGAGCAAAATGATTAATAGGCTTATCCCAAAGAATGTATATAGAAAAGGTGCTGAAACAGTTCGACATGTAAGACTCCAAAAAGGGTTTTTTGCCTGCAGTCACAGAATTCATCTTTCCAAAGATATGAGTCCCAAGACTGATCAGGAGTGTGAGTGGATGCATGAGATACCTTATGCTTTAGACGTAGGTAGTCTCATGTATGTTATGTTATGTACTAGGTCTGATATAGCATATATTGTAAGTGTTATGAGCATATATCAGTTCGACCTAAGGGAGAAGCACTAGTTTGTTGTTAAAACAATCCTTAAGTACTTAAGAAGAACTAAGAATTTAATCCTAAGTTACGGAGATTCAGAATTGAAGATTTAGAGATACTCAGACTCTGTTTTTCAATTAGACGTGGATGATAGAAAGTCTACATCTGGTTTCGTTTTCATATGTAATGGAGGAACGGTTAGTTGGAAAAGTTCCAAATAGTCGACGATTGTCAATTCCACTATAGAAGCTGAATATGGAAGCTAGGATGCTTAAGTTCTTAACTGAACTTGGTGTGGTTCCAATATAAAGGTTATCAGATAACATTGTATTGTGTCAATACTGGGGTTATTGCACAGGCAAAGGAACCAAGGGCACACCAGAAGTCCATACATATCCAACGTAAATATCATTTTTTTAAGAGAATTCGTTGGAGCTGAAGAAATTTGGGTGCAGTAGACACCTTCAACTGAATATGTAGCTGACCCACTTACTAAAGCGATGACACATAAGTAGTTAAACCATCATTTTGATAAGATGGGTATTAGATACCACACTAATTGGTTCTAGTGTAAGTGGGAGATTTGTTAGTGTATGCCCTAGGAACCAATCATGTTGTCAGTTGCAGGGCGTTATATTTTGAAAATGGAAGAAATAGTTCTGATTTCATATGTTGTTTACTACTTCATTTATACTCTTTATAATGCATGTGAAATAGTCGGATGATACGGATCTTTAGAAGATCAAATCATCGATGCATTCTCTACATAAGTAATGTTAATTGGGCAATAACATTGTATAGTAGGCATACTGAATGCCTCCATTGAATATCATGTGACAGTATTAGTGTGGATGATTATAAGAGGTATATCACTAGGGCATTAGCATGGATAAAAAGTTGGTGAACTGCTTATTGAATATGATCGATTATGATGAATCACATGGACATTTAGAATATGGTCAATGATACATCGTAGGATCATACTAGGGTACCACTAATCCTTAGACCTGAGACGTCACGGTTGAATTTGACATATGATGCATATGATTCATAAAGTGTATATACACAAGACTAGTCATATTTTGTGTAAGAAGCCAGTTTGGTCATATGTTATTCATGTGCAAGATGGGATCCGTTGACTCGAAATAGTTTGGTCTCGAGTTCCCAGATGAATGTTAATAAACATTGGAAAAGGGAAATCTCTGGCTAGAGTACAAAATAGTCATATGAAAAAAGAGCTTCATGATGACACGTTCCATTGTATTGATTGACAATTCGGATAAAACTTAAGTTAAGGGTTTTGACATACCATGAACCTATACTTAATCGGGATTAGACAACGAAGGGATTTTATTACATAAAACGTATGATCAGGAAAAAAGGTTCATTGGAGTTTAACTTTATTATGGCTTAGGGGTTATGGAGCATTGCTAGATGCTTATCATAATCGGTGAGAGTTTCGATCATAAAGAGTTATGACGAAATATATCGGATTGTGATATTGGGCCCACAACTAGGTTATAGTGAACTTAAGTGGTCACACCTAAAAACTAAGTATGAGAAGAGAGAATAATACATATCGTTAAAGGTAAACGATGTTCAGATGTAAACGTGTGCATCCGAATATGTATTGATGAGAAATGATTACTCATGGAAAGCTAGCACTTACCAAGGGTAATAAGGTAATTTGGTCATTATTGGATTAGATTCAATGATGGACTAAAATATATTATTGAATTGGATTCAATAATGGGTTAAATATTAAACGGGATTATTTTATATGTCTTGATTATAAATTTGTTTAAATCAAGGATTTAATATTAAGGAGTTAATATTAAATTGAAATTGTTTCAAGGGTTTAGGATCAATAATGATTTAATATTAAATTGAAATTACTTCAAGGACTTGAAAATAATATTGAATTTGTATTAAGTGTTAATATATGATTCATATTAATTCAAGGACTTGAGAACAATTTTAAAATGGTCCTTGTGTATGTGAGTAATGCTATACTTACACCATTTTTTTACACCATTTAGTAAACATCATGATGTGGCATATGCTACAACCACACAAATTATATTATAATATTAAAAATTCAAAATAATTAAAAATTTGTGTGGTTGTGACATATGTCACATCATGATGTAATAAAAATTGTGTAAAAGAGTGATGTAAGTGTAACATTACTCTGTGTATAAATAAGTGATATTCCCAAATTTAATCTAATTTTTCACTTTGGATTGAAAATCTCTCTCTTGAGCTCTCATGGCCGGCTCTCTTTTCTTCATTTTGGGGTGGACTTTACTTTGAGGATTTTCATCAAATTTATTGAAGATCTTGAACTCTTTTTGAAGTTACAAGAGTTGTAAAGCATAAAAGGTAACAATTTCACCCTTTTAATTTCAATAACATGTCATATGATCTTATACCATGTTTCACACCAATTTTACCCTCTCTGAGCATGAATTCTTATAGCTAGAAGGTGGGCATGATTCATACTAGCTCTCCATGTTTTTCCAGCAAGCCTTAAAATCTTCACGTTATAAGATGTGAACATCTGAGCATGATAAAGTCTGAATTTGGCAATGTGATACACACAAGAGTTGTAGCCCTTCGATTAGCTTTTTGATGGTCCAAGAATCATCCAAATCTGAGGTCTATAGCTCAAGTTATTTTCAAAATACTGAAGCCTATTCTAGATCCGATATCTTAGATCACGTGGCCAGATCGCACGCATTAGAGCTCTTAGATCACATGGCCGGATCGCCAAGATCGCACGCATCAGAGCTCTTAGATCGCACGCATTAGAGCTCTCAGATCGCATGGCTAGATCACCCAGATCGCATGCATCAGAGATCTCAGATTGCGTGGCTAGATCGTCCAGATCGCGTGGCCAGATGCCTAGATCGAGTGGCTAGATTGCCTAGATCGCATGCATTAGAGCTCTCAGATCGCGTGGCCAGATCACCTAGATAGCATGCATCAGAGCACTCAAATTGTGTGGCCAAATCGCCCAGATCACATGCATCAGAGCTCTCAGTTTGCATGGCTCGATCTCCTAGATCGCACATATCAAAGCTCTCAGATCGCGTGGCTAGATTGCCCAGATCACACGCATCAGAGCTCTTAGATCGTGCTTTCAAGCAATCAAATTGCTCTCCCCAACGGCCAGATCGTGCTTCCGAGCACTCAGATCACGCTCCCAAGCGGCCAGATTGTGCTATCGAGCAGCTAGATTGTGCTTTCGAGCACTTAGACCGCACGTTCAGGATCATCCAAATTGTGCATTCAAGATCATTGAGATCACACATTCAAATCATTTAGATCGTGCTTCCGAGCTGCCAGATCGTGCTTCCAAGCACCTAGATCGCTGATCCCAAGTTCTCAGATCAAGCTTCGCTCTTTCTAATCGAACTCCTTGTGTTCTCATATCAAGCTTTGCATTTTCTAATCGAACTCCTTGTGTTCTTAGATCCAGCTTCGTGCTTTTTGATCGAACTCTTTGTGCTATATGTTTTTTGATCAAACTCCTTATGCTCTCGGATCGCAAAGAGCTCTTGAGTTCTCAAATCAAAGCTCCTTGCGCTTCATATTGAGCTCTTTATGCTCTCTGATCGAGCTCATAAGTTTGATCATTTGCTTGAGATCGCATGCTACGGATCGTCCAGATCGCACACCTCAAGCTCTTAGGTCGAGCCCCTATTAAATTGCGATCAACTCTCAGCTCTAAGATTCCAAACAGCCTCAGGTCGTGTTCTCAGTTCTTAGATCGTGATCAATTCTCAGTTCTCATATCACGACTAGCTGCCTGAGTTAGAAAAAACGCATAGAAAACCCAAAACATCCTCAAAACATGCCAAAATGGTGGATTTTGGCCCCGAAAATGATCCCAACGGGAATTCCCTGTTGCCACGATGCAGAGCTTGGAACGAGCTTTCCGTGGATATCTTACAGCCTCCAAAACTCTTTTCGGATCAAAAGTTATGGATGTTTTAAGTTGGCTTGCCCGTTTAGGATCTCTGAGCCACACGTTTGGGTTTTTGATGCTCAGTTCTCTACACGAATTCATCTACTAGACATTTTATGTCAATTATCAAATCGCGCTCAGCTTCGATTCGCTCCAAGTGCTTAGATCGTAGTCCTAGTTCTCAACACTCAATCACGTCAAGCATAGTTCGAGCCCTTCAGTTCGAGACTGCAATCTATAGTGCGACAGCCATTCAAATCTAAGACATGAGTTTTTGAAGTGCAATTATGCATTTCAAAAACCAGGGCGTCGGGGTGGTTAGGGGTCTATTGTGCAAAAAATACACACTGATGTCAGCACCACCAATTATAGCTTAACAAGCACTCAAAGACAAAGTTTCTGCCAAAACCCAAACCGCCTCAAAAAAATATTTTATATCAATCATATCCCATTTTAAGATAAAGATAAAGGAGTGGTCTCCACATGTCAAGTTAACTTGCAAAAACAGTCATTATATTTACCTCAAAGGTATAAATGGGTACTTCTCTTCACGATAGAGGTGGCTGGGCGTATGAGAGCTGGGCGCAAACGAGAGTTTCAACCATTATTTTTTTCTCTATAAATAAAGCATTTCTCCATTTTTGTATACCTTATAGATAATATCAGAAAAATAGTTAGAGAATAATAAAATAACAGTGGATATAGGATTTGATTTAAGCATTCGAACCACTATAAAAATCTCTTTTATCAATCTATTATTTATGTTTCTGCAAACATGTATAATCTCTGCATCATAATCAACTCTTATAATCATTTATGTGTAATTTTTAAGATCAACTTAATTTACACGTGCAGAGGTCATTAGTGTCAAAACACACGTCAACAAGTTAGATGCATTCTTATCATTGTAATAAATGTTCAGACAAGAATTTTCTTTGCTTTTTACGTTGAACAAAACCCAGATTATTGGAGCTAAGAAATACGAGCGAGAACAAGTCAATGCGCTGACGAAATAAAATTCGCTGTTGAATTAAGATTACGTTTGATTATCCACTAAATCACGGCACATTTTGCCCTTCTCTGGAACATAAAATTAAATTAAAATGTCTTGAAAATCAACCTGGCAAGAAATTCTGACGCCACCCTACCAGACAAGATATATTTATAAAGCTGTCTTTTTCATATTTTCTCTCCAGAAGCACTTAATAGGAAGAGGTAGCCCACTCATTAATATCACAATTCACAACTACTCTTGAAAAATAAAAATCTTCATAAATGAATCAAAAATCATTTACACAATAACATCAAGCCAATCCTGAAAGATGGTTACTGTAACATGGCTACTGAGAACTTTGCTTGTCTTCCACCTCTTGCATTTGTCAACTTCCGTTGACACTATAACATCCACCCAATCCATTAAAGATGGTGATGAAATTGTCTCTATAGGCAAAATCTTCGCGCTTGGATTCTTCAGTCCTGGAAACTCTATGAAACGATATGTGGGTATTTGGTATTACCAAGTTTCGGAACCGACAATTGTGTGGGTGGCAAACAGAGACAATCCTGTCAATGATACATCCGGGATCCTCTCAATCAACACTCATGGAAACCTCGCCCTGTTTGGAAGTAACGAAACCGTTCCTGTCTGGTCCACCAACATTCCGGTCACCTCCGCAAAGAACACCGTAGCTCACCTCTTGGATTCAGGAAATCTTATTCTTCTTCGAAATGATACCAAGAAGTTACTATGGCAAAGTTTTGATTATCCTACACAAACTTTGCTTCCATTTATGAAACTTGGGCTGAACAGACGAACGGGTCTAAATCGGGAATTAACAGCTTGGAAATCCGCGGATGATCCTGGAACAGGGAACTTCTCTTACAGAATTGACCCAACTGGATTTCCTCAATTGTCTTTGTACAAGGGTACAACAAAGTGGTGGAGATCCGGGTCATGGACGGGGCAAAGATGGAGCGGTGTACCCGAAATGACTAGTAATTACATCTTTAACGTTACGTTTGTTAATAATCAAGATGAAGCATCCATTGTTTACACAGTAACTAAACCTTCTGTTACTACGAGGATGATAGTTAATGAGTCAGGATTTGTGCAACGTTTCACCTGGAGCAATGCGGATCGTAGATGGATCGGGTTCTGGTCATCCCCAAAGGAGCAGTGTGATTATTATGGGCATTGCGGGGCAAGTGGTAATTGTGACCCGTATCACGCAGATAAGTTTGAGTGCACTTGCCTACCTGGGTTCGAACCCAAGAGTCCTGATGAATGGTACTTGAGAGACGGGTCAGGTGGGTGCAAGAGGAAGCGGGAGATGTCCACGTGCCAAAAGGGAGAAGGGTTCGTGAAGGTAGCACGTGTGAAGATACCGGATACAAATGTAACACGTGTAGAGATGAGTTATGATTTGAAAGCGTGCGAGGAAGAATGCTTGAAGAATTGTTCGTGTTTGGGTTACACAAGTGCATATGGTGAAAGTAAGGGAGGGATTGGGTGCTTGACATACTACCGAGATTTGATAGATACAAGAACTTATGCCAATGCTGGTCAAGATATGTATGTAAGAGTTGATGCCGCGGAATTAGGTATTTGTCTATTTTCAACTACCTACCTCCTTTATTATTTATTTATACTTCCAACTGCTTGCAAAGACTTTTTTCACTCATTATGAGTACCACGTGACAACATCTTAGTGGTAAACTTTTGCATTTATAAATTAATAATATATTACCTTAATTATTAAGGCAATCAATTACACAAATATGTTATTAAATTATTCCGTTAGTATGTATGTAACTGACACAAGTGAAAACGTTTAAACAATGGATACACCCAATCCTAACTCAATCAAAGTTTCCAATAGTTCTTATGTTCGCCTACCTTATTTCCTTCACAAAGCAAAACTCCCGTGTGTCTCATCACGTACCTTGACTGACTTGGCTGACATGGTAAGCCTATCCAATGAAACAAAAACATTTATTATTAATTTTGAAAACCACCTCTTATTGTAAAGGTTATTGGTAAATAATAATTCCGTACTCATTTGTGAATCGCAATAATACATATCATTATATCATCCCATGGTCTCACCACATTAACCAAGTGAAGTAATGAGATTGTCTTATACTGTATAAGTATCTCTAGACTGATTTTTTATCCTCAGAATTCTTTTTGTATATCAACTATCACTTATGAAAGATTCACTTTATATTTCATGGAACAATATGTAACAATAAGTATTTAAAAGAGAAAATTTGACAAATATGTATCAATATATGTCATTATATCATCCTATGGTCTCACCATCTTAGTCAAGTGGGGTGATGGGATTGTCCCATATAAGTATCTCTAGACTAATGGGATTATTCCAATAATAATATTTTGCTTACAATTGAATTATATAACCTGACAAAAATTACACAAAATTCATGTAAAATGACTATTTTGTCTTTTGTTTTTTTACCTGTTTGTATGATTCAGTTGTAAACATAGCTCCAAATAAGTATTCTACTCGAGCCATTTCTAAAAACATAAGCATCATTATTGAATATTTTATTGGTAGCACAAGTCAATCAATCAAATTTATTACTAATAAGATGCCATATAAACACTGAAGCTTTATCATCCGATTGCATGTCCTGATACATTAATTGTATTTGTTCCAATGCTCTTATATTTAAAATGTCTTATATTGTTTTTCTACTGCTTAGCTTTATATGCGAAGAAAGGTTCACTTACGAAGAAGACTATTTTGGCAATTGGCATAGTCTCTTCCGTTGCAACAATTCTCTTGTTAGCATTTGCTTATTGGTTATTCAGAAGAAAAAGAGCAGGTAATAAATCAATTTCTTCAATCCTTTCCTTGCCCTCTATCCTACCTGCATTGCTTTCTACCATTTCTAAAATTGTGTACAAATTTGATCACCATTATTTGTTTATGTTTTTTTTATGCCAGATAAAGCAAGAGATGCCAAGAATATTGAATTTAGTCTTACCTCAAGTTTAACACATTTCGACGACTCCATCAGTGTAAAGGAACCAGATGGGAGTAGAAGCAATTTTGATTTACCAATGTTTCAGCTGAGCACCATTGTTGCAGCCACAAATAATTTCTCTCCTGATAGAAAACTTGGAGAAGGTGGTTTTGGCTCTGTTTATAAGGTACTTTCCTCGGGCCTCTTGATTTCATGACATTTTGTTTTTCATTTTTATATACAATAAGTTCTCTTTTGTGCTATTCTATATGTTTAGAATTGAAGGTGAAACGTTAGTTACACTACCGAACTATGGTTTCAGGGTACACTTCGAAATGGGAAAGACGTAGCAATTAAAAGACTATCTAAGTACTCGGGACAGGGAATAGAACAGTTCAAGAATGAAGTTTTACTTATTGCAAAACTCCAGCACAGAAATCTTGCGAGCATTTTAGGTTGTTGCATTGAAGGAGAAGAGAAGATGTTAATCTACGAATACTTGCCCAACAAAAGCTTGGACGCTTTCATTTTCAGTAAGTCTTTCACTTCTTCAATTACCACTTTGAGAACTCATCTTGTCCTTCTTTTTGTTTCCTTATTCTAAGATGTAAAAGTTTATTTCAGTTTTCCATTATTAAACAAAATTATTCAAAATTTGGATTCAGATGAAACAAACAGGAAATTATTAGATTGGAGTAAAAGATTTGAAATCATTTGTGGGATTGCTCGAGGAATCTTATATCTACACCAGGACTCGAGATTGAGAATTATTCATAGAGATTTAAAAGCCAGCAATGTTCTACTAGATATTACAATGAACCCAAAAATTTCTGATTTTGGAATGGCCAGGATATTTGGTGGTGACCAAATTCAAGCAAATACCAATCGCGTGGTTGGAACATAGTAAGTTCCCAAACCCGAAACTTCAAAAAGAATTTAAGTTTCATCCATATGGACTTGATTAATTAATTTTTTCTTTGTTGATTTATTTCTTTTTCAATGTGATGTCGTCGCAGTGGTTATATGTCACCAGAGTATGCCATGGAAGGACTATTTTCGATAAAGTCTGATGTTTATAGTTTTGGAGTTTTACTGTTGGAAATCATCACAGGTAGAAAGAATAGTGGTTTCTATCTAGAAGACGCTGCCTCTTCAAATTTGGTTGGACATGTAAGCAAGCGAATTTGCACATTATTGCTCAAAACCTGACCTTAATTTGTAAATTTTGTAAGTGATTTGTTTGACAAATGTGTTAGATTTGGGATCTATGGAGAGAAGGAAGAAGCTTGGAGATGGTTGACGAATTATTAGGAGAATCATACACGGTACATGAAGTATTGAGATGCATCCAAATTGGTCTATTGTGCGTGCAAGAACAAGCAACAGATCGACCAACAATGTCAATGGTCGTCTCCATGTTGGGCAACGATAAAGATCTTCCTTATCCAAAACAACCTGCATTCATTGGAAAAAGATTCACCAAGACTGATGAGAGTAGTGGAGGAATCAGTTCCTTAAATGAAGTCACAATCTCTCTGGTTCGTGGTCGCTAGAGGTACAAGCTCTTAAAAATTGAACAGAGGTGCGTCAGAACGTGGATTAATTAAATGATAAATCCCAATTATAATGGGTTTTATTGTCCATCCCCATAAGAGATCTAGCAGTTTTAAACTCTGTCATGCTTTCTAAAAAGTATTATATATCTCTCAGACAGTTTTTTTCTTTTTCTTTTTCAGGGGTAAAACATAGTCTAAAGAAGTAAATGATAATCTAGAGAGATGCATACTACTTTCATAAAACCCTAGAGGCGTTTAAACATTTCTAATCTCTCAGGGCTAGATGATAAAGCCCCAATTATATATATATCGTTAAGTTTGTTTATAATTATATTGATGAACTTGCGATAGGTGTTCATATTAGCGTTTGTGGTCATTGATTTATTGAATTCTATGTCAAATTCGCCTTATTTGTAATAATATAATTATTCTTATTAACAAGTTTAAATTTGGACGCAGCAACAAACAACATTTAACATTGTTGGTAACAAGTTTGATGTTGCTCTAACCAGTGTTTTAAAACCCGATCGATTCAACTGGGACCTGAAGCCTTCACGGGTCGGGTTATAAATTTTCCTATTCTTTGAAAACCTCAAACTTAGGACATCAATCTATAAATAATTAAAGGTTGGAATGTTAGGGCTTTTGAAGAGGAATGCCCGATGAGTGCAATGGTAGCGACGAGGGTGATTTCCGGTGAGTGAATCAACCGAAAATCGCAAAATTGTGTCACTGGAAAAAGTTTGCTGTTTTCGGCGATTGGGAGGGCGAACGGCGGAGGTGTGAGATGGGTTTTGGTCAAGAGGCTGAGGGAAGTGTTGTCGTCGCCTGAACATGCCCTATTTGCCCATGCCGATGGTGGTGTTTGGGGTGTTTTCGCAAGATTTTAAACCTATAGAGACTTACATGTAATTTTTAGGGGTATTTGTTAGATTTTAAACCTTTGGACATCGGTTTGACTTGCTGGTCAAACTAGTTAAATCGGTCAACCTTAGATCCGATTACTTTGCCGGGTTTCACCTTGAGTTGGGTTTTAAAACACTGGCCCTAACAAATCCATTTTAACTTATTAGATACACTTAAAAGAATGTTAAACATGCACATGTACATTACACATAACTAAATATAAATATAATACTAAATATTGTAACACACACTATTATCTCAAAATAAAATTTATCTCAAAATAAAATTTATTATCACAAGGGTTGCCCTGGTTAAGAATGTTTGCTCATTTCATTGACTTCATTGGTTCAAACCACTTTAGGGTTACCTATCACATACTTGTGATTTATATTGGAACACTAGGCTTGTTAAGAGTTCAATGTGCATTGATGATTAGTTGAGATATGCACAAACTGGCCTAAACACCCTGATAAAAAAATAATTATTTTATTAATAACTCAAAAAGGAAATACAACATTATTTAAAGCAAATATCAAAATTGTATATAAAAAGTAAATCCCGTATGTTTGGCCTTTTTGTAAGGGGTCATTTCTAGTTCAAAAAATGTGACCCTAACTTCTGCTAGTTTCGAAAATGCAACCCTAACCCTTATGTGTTTGGCCTTTGTATTTTTTTTTTAAGTAAACACTGACTGTTTTTGAAAACGTCATCAATTCAACATTCAAATTTATCAACAATTTCATTAATTTAACCTTCAAAACATATATTAACCTCTAAACATTGTTGACAAGTTTTAGTACAAATGTCATTTCCTTCAAACTTAAATAGAATAACATAAGGGTCCATAAAAGTATGAGTTAAAATTGTATTTCCGAAACCAACAAATGTATACTACAAAAAAACCATATACACGGGAGGTTTACTAAAAATAAACGTATATAAAACATTAATAATGTTTTGCTTATAACTAAGTCATATTACAAGACAAAAATTACATAAAATTTATGTAAAATGATTACTTTATCTTTTTTTTTTATCTATTTGTATGATTCAGTTATATGACTCAATTGTAAACATAACATTGCTCATGAAATATATAACCTATCTAAAGTCTAAACATAATAAAATTGTATAAAACGCCAACCCGGCATAGTGCTCATCATGATATGTCTTGGGCTCTACATAGATAGCTCATAGGGCTCAGATTTGTAGGCCCATTCTTCTCCTGTAGCCCAATTGTTAAGTATTCTCTTCCTGCTAATCCAAATAAAAGAAACCAGTTTTCTAATCTTCATAGGCAATCCTGATGTGCAATTTATATTACAGAACACAACTTCGAATTAGACATTAATATCGCATATGTTCCAATCATTTCTTGTTTGAAAACAATTGATTCCCGAAATTTGGGTATAAATAACCATATTTATTATAGCATCTAGTTATTAATTTAATAGTGGTCATTATCCATTTCCATGCCAAAGTGCTCAAACACTTTTTTCATCAACTTTATTTTATTACTCTACTTGTCCACTTGCCTTCTGGTTTAGTTTAGTTTAGTTTACTTGCTTCTTGCATGCTTCTTCTTTTAATATTAATTTCTCTCTCTTTTCGTAATCATTTCTTTTCATACGTTAAAGAATTAATATAAGTTAGGTCTTATGGTAATTTCATTCCCTTAAGCAAAGGTGAGTTTAATCAGTTTTATAAGGGATCTTCAAAAGCTCCCCAGGTTATCTTTAGAAATCATATTATTTCTCAAATTAATTTTGTAGACGTAGAATGACAAACATACCCATATATATTATTTTGAATTATAAATCAATTCTATATTAAAAATTAATTAATTAAATCTCTTAAATTTTTTTTTTAATGAATATTTGTGGAGGCTTTGGGCCGTAGGAAGCAGTCGAAGCTCTTTGCTTCGCAAACAACTTAACGTGGACTTGATTTCGATTATTCTATTGAAATTGCATAAATCACCGTAAAGATCCTAACAACACCAATAGTGTGTGTCATTGGACATTGGATACTTATAGGTAACATTTGCTGATCTCGACAACTATCCAATTTTTTTTTTTTAAATTAACTTATTAATTACTAATTTATAATACTATTTTTTATACTTAAAAAAAATATAGTTTTATGATTATAAAATATTTTAATAATAACATTTTCTTTTTTACCATTATATATATAACAATTACTAGAAAACTAAATTTGAAAAGCTTGTTTGGTTGAGCTTACTACGGGATAAAGAACTTATTTAAATTATATATTTTTTTTTAGACTGTTTGGTGGCATTTTAAATTGTTTATAGAATTTTAAATAAACTATTTTACAGTTTATTAGAAAAACTCAAATTTTAAGCTTTTCTCATAAGCTGATTTTACATATTTAGAGTGCTAAAACTTCAAAAAATTTTAGATTCAATTGTATAAATTGACTTGATTTATTGTATATTAGAGTTCTTTTTAGTAAATTAATATCAGAAATGTTTTTCACAAAAACTCAATTCATATAAACTTTAATAAGTTCTTCTTTCTCAAGCTCTATTCAAAGAAGCTCTAAACATGTCTGTATAAATTTTGAACCTCACAATAATTAAAAAAAAAAAAAAAATTTAAGTTATAGCTTCTAAAAAGGTATTTCTACGTTTGCACAAGAATATGTCAATTGGCGAGGTTTACCAAAGTGAGGACGGTGACTGAGCACAAAACCCATGAATCACGTTGGCAGTTTGATCGTTATATTTAATAAATATTATAAAAACTTGAGGTTGAGAACCTCCAACCATCACTCTTCACTCATTATATAAAATATTGATTAAACCTTCACTTTCTTGCCAGCTGTCACCTTGATGGCACGGACTCTCTCTCTTTCTTCTTTTTCAATTATCTTTTTTCTGAAAATTAATTATGTTATATATGTTGCTTTTCCAATGGAGTTTTTAAATAGTAATTACATGTTAGAATTAATCCTAAAACGATAAGGTAAATATATCTAATCCATTATTCATATTCTAGTTTCCATATTTAACATGAAAAGTATTAAATGAAATAATTGGTGGGCACGCATGCATATTCTAATAATTTAGTACGACTTGTGCCTTTGATCTTATCAAACTGTACTCTCTGTTTCTGTACATTAATTCCTGATTTGTCTATTTTTTTTTTTTTCTTCTTTCACTCTACCCAATTCATATAATTATATTGCATTTACTAAATCATATCAATACTTCACCAATTATACCTCCAATTGGTAATTAATACAGTTATTAATCAATTAAATTTTTTTTTTTTAAGAGAAAAATCAAAAGCCTTTCCTTTTTCGGTGTAATACTTTTTTTTTTTTCTTTTAATTTTTCAAAACATGTTTCTATCCTTAAAGTTGATCACATTTTGGGCGATTTCCACAAAATCAAAATATGCTTATTAGGAAATTTTAATCCAAAAAAAAAAAAAGATAACTGTTACGGAGTTTAGGATATTATCTCAATAAATACATTTTATAAACAAAACAGAAAAGTTCCTTATAAATTTTTAAATAATCTAAAACTAATATTTATTTGAATAAATTTAAAAAAAAGAAAAAAAAAAAACTTGATAGGTCAGTAAAATCTATTTTAACAAAAAGTTTGAGGTATAATTTTTAAACCCCCAAGGTTTAGCCACACTTATAAATCCTCTTGACTTATGGATAATGACATAGAACCCCCTGTCATTATCATTCTCTCCTTAGTTTTAAACAAATATAGCAAATGACCTAATTACCCTCAAACACCTATCCACCATCAACCTAGAATAGCCCCATCTTCTCCTTCCCTACTGCTTGTAACCCAAAACATTTGGCACTACATATAAGGGAAAAATAAAAAATTCAATTTTAATTATTAACAAACATCAGAACCTAGCTCCACTCCCTAGCCTAGTAGCCGCTACCCATCGCAACTTACCAATTTTTTCAAAACCGCCACACCCTTATCTTATTTCCCTCCACCATAAATCTCCAACTGAAAACAGAAGGGATAGTAGTTGTATAACCCCCCTAGGTTTACCCTATATGTTTACCCTATCCTAAACCTCCCGGGGTATTTAGAATGACCCTAAACCCCTTGCCATTACCCGAAAGCTATGAAGTCTCCATTAAATTGAAAAGGCGAAGGGCAAAATGGTGAAACGGATTCGAAAAAAAATCTCTCTCAATTGACTAAATATTACTGTCTTGATATGAGGGCAAATAGGTAAATACTCATCATTTTTATAAATAAGAATACTAACAAATTTAAATAACAATTAAAAACCCAAACCCATCAATCATTGCACCATGCCCCAGTCACATCTCCCTCTCCAAACATCATTGCTAGCAACAACTCTTCACCACCAGCCAAAAACTTCTTAATCACCAACACAACACAAAATTAATTTCAGAGCCACAACAAATTAATCCCTAATTAAAATAACTACCTCAAATCACAAACACTTAACACAACACACAT